CTTTCTAGGCACCTGGAAAAGCGGAGTTGAAAGGAGAAACCATTACAAATGTAGGAACATTCCTTCCTAACCGCTTGATGGAGTGATGAAAATGTAATTGCAAGGAATGAGAAGCTGTTGGTCCCAAGCAGAGCTTTGCTTGGAAGCCAGAAAATCATGAACTTCTCTGACCACGACGTTGAATAGATTTATACTGTCCAAGGTTAATTTCATCTCAAGAGTAACTTTATCCAAAGATAAATACTGTGACTCAAATTTGCACACGGAATGAAAAATCTATCCCAATTGTGAATCAGCCAGTCACTCTGATGTGTGGGAGTGACCGTTTCCATATTTCCTCTTGGCATTTAGTGATCGAGAGAGTAGTTTTAAACAAACAGTTCCACAAGTACTCCTCTTCACTATTTAGCTAAATTCAGTAGGGCAGGAGATGAGACAATGCAGATTTGGGCTTTTGAGTTGGCAGGAATGTTAGAGGAAAGCATTGAGGCTTTGGGTGTGAGGCTGTGAGTTCAGTGGAGCTGCTGTTTTCATGACCTATTTCTTGGGCAAACATGGAAATAGAAATGGCTGTTGGTGGCACAGATGAGCTTCTGTCTTTTTTATTTTATTTTTTTATTTCATCCTGGGCTGAAAAATCATCAGACCCCAATTTGATGCAGTCTTACTTCTGGAGGTTAGGAGCTCAGCACCCCCAAATTATTCTGGTATCAGTGAAGAGGAGGGATTACTGAGTGTAGGTCAGTTTGAAACAAGTACTTCAATCTCCTAAAGGTCTGTTTGTTGTTGTGGTCAGCCTGTTGTCATTAATGTAGTTTGTACTCTCAAGGAAGGTGGGTGTGCAGCTGACTCATCCTGAATGCTTTCATCCACATTTATACTTCAGGAGATTTGGCAACATCTGTGAGCAGAGTTGCTGTGATTAGCCTGACATTTATGTAACAGAGCGTGCTGCAGAGGGCTGCTCTTGGAATTGGAGTTGAAGCACAACGGTGCTTTTCAAGGCAGTATTTACATAACTTATATGGATTTCTACACTAGAGAGCCTGCGTTGCTGTACGCCAGTCAGCTGATGGTTGTATCTCTGTGTTTGCTGTTAGGGTACGGGTTTGATGGCAGCAGAGCTCTATTTGCCTCCTTCAGAATGTGATTTTTATAGCCACAAGTTAGTGCCAACGATGCTTCATGTTGGATTCTGGCCCAAGAATATATGCAAGCTTTTTTACATCTGTGGGAACGTGGAAGTGCACGAAGAAAACTGAATTGCTGTAATTGTGCTCTGAGATGCCATAAAGTGTCTGGAGGCTGTGCTATGTGGCTGATTGGCCAAGGTGGATGGAAACCTCGCTACCTGAGAGGTGCGTATCAGTCCTCAGAGCTGTCACACTGAGTTGTCTTTGCTAAAAAGTGAAGTACGCCCTCATCTTATTTCTACCAAACGCACCCTCAAAAAAGCCCCAAACCAACAAACAGCACGTAATTCCTTTTTGATAACTTTTGTGGCTGTCCCCCTGAGATGGGTTAGCCTGCATGCTTCAGGCTGTCCTAGAGAAACCTGTGAATGATAAAGCTTTTCAGCTCTTTGTCACATTTTCCAAGTTTAAGACCCTTTCAGTTTTCATAGTATTCACAAATATCTGTTGAATCTTGTTTCTTTAGTTTATGGTGCTTAAGTTCTCAAAACATCTACCTTTTTTCTCTGTAAACGGGAAGTGATATAAAGCACATCTAAATTAGTTATTTTGGCCATAATTTGCCTTGAAAAGAGCATCTCTGCAATGTTTCATTTGAAAATGGTTATATTTACTTGCAAACTGAGCTGGTCATTAGCATGTGAAACTTACTTAATACACAGTGATTTATTTACTTAATACACAGTGATTAGAACTCGTGTTTTGTGAGCTGTGTTTATAACTGCAGCTCTCCAGCTCTGGTCTCTCTCTGTGCTGAGGTGAAGTTTGCACCTCAGTATTCCCTGTCAGTCATACAGATTCACATGACGTTTTTCCATCCTTGTTAGCAATCTCTTCAAGCTTTCCAGCCTGAAGCTTGTAAGAATGAATAGATCTACCTCAGCTTGTCTATTATCTGAAGAAATGGAACTGATTAGCAGCATCTTCTTTCTTATTGCAAAGACATCTTGGTGAGTCCTTCAACTTCTACAGTGGGCTGTTTGAGGTGCATGAAGTGCTGGCACATAAACGTGAGATCGGCACTGGAAATCTGTGTGACTCCATGGGAGGGAAATTCTGATTTATTGCATGCTACCTGAATATAAAAATCCTTCCAACGCTCACTGTGAAAAATACCTACAGAATTCATTGCCAAACTGAAGAATGCTACGCTGAAAAGACAGTGTAAGTATAATAGCTTTATCTTCTTTAAAGCAGATAATGAAGTTCAAGGTGAGCAATATTGAAAGTGAACTTGATAACATGCTAATCTGTATAAATCAGTCTCTCAGATTCTCAGGGAGGCTAGTATGTCAGTCTACAGGGAAGGCTAAGGATAGTTCCAGACAGAAGAGAACACTAAGAGTAGATGAAGGATGGAGTGAGGCTGAACTATTGCCACCTGTTGATGTTTCACTTGGTGATCTCTTGCTGTAGTATTGCAAGGTTTTGAAGGCATTTTGAAACACTTGAGTGATTTCTTTTTAGTCTCTTGACTTAACTTCCAGTAACTCTTGTGAGATGTTGCTATTGTTACCTATGATGTGGTCATTTTGGTGCTGTTGCTACAATGTATTTTCCCCTCCTATGTAATAGTGTGCTTAAAAAGAGAAAATTTCTTCTTCGCTAGGGCTGTTGCCTAGTGATAGGTGTTCACTTCCTCCTAATAAGACTACTGAGTTGTTGTAGGGCTATTAGTTGCTCTTAAAAATATAAAAAATAACTCATTACGAATACTCTAGGAGGAGCACAACCTTACACATACCATAAAATGTCTCAGCAGCTATGATTGGTGATTGCAGGCTTGCTGATAACTGATCTGATAGGAGAAAAATAACCGGACTCTGACTTGACACTTGCTGCTTTTCCACCCACGGGTCTGATCAGCATTAGTCATCTCTTTCTATACACAGTAACTAGGATAGAGCTACAAAGCTCAAAGGTTGGATGCAGTCTGCTACCAATTAGTCCTTAAGAGAAGAGGAAAGGAGGTGTGCCTTTATGCTGACTGTTGTGGAGGTGGTGGCAGTGCAATTGATTCAGTTTGTTAGTTCCAGCTGGTAAGAATAAAAATACTTCTGTTTAGAGCAGCTTTGAATTGAGGTGAATATAAACACATGACAAAGCAATGCCATGCTTAGCTACTAAGAACTGCTGTTTCTCTCCTTGTTTGTTGCATTAGAAACATCCTGAGCTCATCTGCTGTACACGCTTTTACATTGCAGTGTGGGCCATGTGAATGTTAGTGTTTGTTGGTTTAATCTAGTGCTCAGAGCTTGCTTTGGAGTGCAAACCTCCTTCCTTTGCAGCAGCAGTCCTTGCTCCATCTCTAGTGAGACAGTCTTCCTGGAGTCTGTGGAACAAAATATGACCCTCACATATAGGCTTTTTTCTTTTATCTGAAGCTGCTACTTAGGTAGTAATTGCCTTTCAATCTCCAAAACAGGCCCCTGAATGCTCCTTGTGGCCTATGTGGTTGACTGAGCGCCATTTCTTTAGACTGCCAAGAACTCCTTCCAACCCTTGTGATGCTGGAGGTACTCTTGCTGCTGCCATTGATGTGGCTGCTGTTCTGTCTTTGTATGGTGCGTACCTGAATGGGGTACATCTCACCTTGTATCAGTCCTTTCTTTCTTTATAGCACCTATTCTGGTATTTCTGAGGTGCTACGGCTCTGTAGAGCTACTGAGTGCGACTAATACCTTACTTGCTGAAAAAGCTAAGTACCAGTAGCCTGCAAGATTAATTGCATGTAATGTGCTGACTTGAAGCTCCAGAGCCTGCAGTGATAAATGTCTTGCTTGCGCCTTTCTGTCCTCTCCCTTTTCTTCTGTCTCCTAATAACTGTAGTTTCTGAAAGCCAGACAGACCCACACAGCACACATAGTGGTATGGAGTCCCTGCTTAACCAGCACACAGATTGTTGTGCATTGCTCCCAGTCTCCATGTTTCTGCAAATTCATTTTTGATTAAACAGCTTTTTTTTGTTGATTGTTAAAGCAGCGCCTTCACCAGCCAGGCTGTTGTATGGCATTGTTGATTGACTCATCTTGTTGAGACCTTTCACTGGTGATAATGTGAAGCAAGAAATGTACACTGTAATCCTCAGAGCACTGCGTAGGGATTCTAAAACTTGTGGGGCTGTTTTCATTCAGAATACGTTAGAACAATTTTTGGAATATGAAGTTGAGGGTATGTGTTTGCATACAGCTTATCGTTCTGTACTTATGTTAAGATTATCCTAGTTTAGAAAAATGACAGGGATTTGCTGTCGGTAGAACAGTAATCTGGCAGGCTCCTGTAACACTGATGTATGCAGTCAACAACAAATCACTTGCAGTAAATTGCACAGAGGTTCAGCATCAAATATTTCTGGTTTTACTGTTGCTTTATTAATTCAGATGAGACCAAATGCCTCACTTAGATTTTTTTTAGATGCTGTAAAGTGGGAAGGCTATGTTCAGATTTCTTGATGTTTTGCTGATTCCACAGTCAAGCAAAATGAGAACGACACAGCTTGTGAGTTTTAGGGCCACCATGATCTTTTTGCCCTCTCTCGGTTTCTTTGAAAGCATTTGTTTTGGCAAAGAGCTGTTTTGCAAGGCATCCCTCGTGAAGTTGGAAGCATTGGACTACAACCACCTCACCAATCTCGTGGCTGCTTGTATCACACTCTGGCTTTTCATTCATTCTTTCCAGTGGAGAAGTTAATGTTTGGGTTAGAGGACTCTGAACCTATTTGAATTAAAGACCTAGAGGTGTTTGTATCTTCAACAGAGAAGGGAGCCAGTGCACAACTTCCCTTGTCCATATGCCTGAGCTGTGAAACGTGTGTGAAGAGGACAACGTGGTAGGAAGAACTGGTGTTGGCATATTCCAGTATCAGTACAAGTTTGTAAACTGGATATTCTCCTGGTTTTCAGGACTTGTAAGTGTGGGTTAATATGCACGAGTTGCAGGGTGACCCTGACTTTGAGAAGCTGCTGCAACATGCTTTGTGCCTGCTCACTCTGTAGCTGTGTGCTGGGAAAGAGGCCTCAGAGGAAGAGACTTTATGCAGTCCCTGTGCAGGCAAGTGGTTGACCTTCATGAATCCTTCCTTGTCTGGATGCAGAGGAGCTTTTCAGAGCACACTGCCACCGCTGTGTGGATTTCCCCAGGTATGCTGTAAGTAAATGTTTAGTTTCTAGGAATCTCTGCCCTTTGAATGGCATCCTTTGAGTCATTCCTGGAGAAGCAGAATATTTCTTGGACCTCGTAAAGGATTTTGACTTGTGATGTTCAACTGGCTATTTGTTCTGTTTTTAAAACTGCCTTTGGGATTGAGTTGTTCATGTTGCTGAAGTCTGAACTGGAAAGGAGGAAGTTGATTGTAAATAAGACTGCAACCAGAATCAGGCTGCCTGTTCTGCTCTCTGGACTTGCATGTGCATTAACTCCAGGATGCTTTCAGAGGGAGTTTTTTGGTACGCGGCTCTTGTGACTTGCCAGGGATAAACAGAAATGGATTATTATTTAATGCTGTATAATGGAACAGATCTAATTAGCATTATACTTACTAGAGAGATATAATACATAGTGCACAGTGGTGTTTTTTGGAGGTTATCAGAAGTCAACTTTTCTTTGCGCTGATGACATGCCTGCCTCTGCCATAAAAAATCACATTAAAGTAAATCTCTGTGCTTTAGGAAATATGACTGTGGTGTCAGGTATGTACATGTGGCTGTAATAGTACTGGAGTTAAATCTTGAGTAGTGTGCAGTATAAGTACAGCGGGTGGTTTTACTTTGGAAGAGTGCTAGAAGCTTGAAGGGTGTGAGTACCTTGTAGCTGGGGAAGCTGGCCTTCCTTGGCAGCGTTCAGAAGGAGTTGAGTTGGTACTGCTTCCTAAACTGTACGTCTCTTGTACCATCATATTAACTTGGTGTTTTCTCCACGTGATGTCTAGTAAATCTTGCCTTAAGTGTCAGTGTTTAATGGCAGGAGTTGGCAAACAGCTAGGATAGAGATCAACTAATGAAAAACTTAGGTAGTATTACAGAAATCTGGCTTAAAACCAAAAACCACGCAAATAACAAGGAGGAATTCAGTGCAGTCCCTTCTGTTGCACCTTGTCTGTCTTTCTCCCTTAGTGGGGGATTTTTCAGGCTCCAGCAGCTTTGCTTATTGCTTGGAGTTAAACCAAATGGATAGAAAGCAGTTGATTTGGAGGGATGAGTCTCACCTGGCCCAGCTCCCTCTTTGTGGTTGGAGGGCCTTGCTGCCTGCCACATGGGTGAGGAGCAGCTGTGTCTGCAACAGCAGAATAAGAAGCAGATTTGGAGGGGGCTGTGGCAGCCCCTGGGGCAAAGCTTTGGGCATAGACTGAGCAGCACCTCGCTCAGCTGTGCAGCAGCTTTGGCCTTCCTCAGTTTGGAGCATGTGGTGAGCAATACATGTTATTTCTGCCTGGGAGTACTGGGCTCCTGCTTGTATTAGCCCTCTGTGTTATTTAATATGGTGTGTTGTAATTATCTGGCATCTTAAATCCTCTAATGTTGCTTGGTGTTATAAATGCCCTGTGGCTGGGGAGGGAACAAATTATTTGCAGTTGAAGAATGAACTGTTTATTACCAGGACAGTTCCCTCTGGGGAAACAACTAATAGCAATAAAATATATATGCCTTATTTTCCCCTTCAGCCTTTCCCCAAGCCTCAAAGAAAGTCTACAGCAACCCTGGAAACCATGGCGTAGACGCCTTCAGTGCCTCTGGCTCTTGTTTGTGTTGCAGTGGTATCTTCATGGGAGATCTCTCATTCAGGAGGAAATGTTTGAAAACTTTGCAGACAATACTTGATGTGTTATTGCTTGCGTGTGTGCTTAGATCAAAATAAGCCTTTTATATTGGCAGGGCAGAGGACAAAGATTGGCTTTTTCAAGCATGCAAGTGGCTGGTTAAAGCAAATAAAGATAACACTGTATAAATATTTATCTGCTAGCTTGGTTGTGTGATGGGTGGGTGTGGTGTGGGTTTGTTTAAATTGGTTTTTTTATTTTTTCTAAAAAAAGGCCAACACTTGAACATGCATCCTAGCTCCATATCCAGCTTTCAATGAAGGAAAGCTGACTGAGGTCCTTATGGAGAGTCCATAGAGTTACTGATTGTAAAGTTGAGTAAAATTGGGCCTTCTCTGGTGATTTGTCTTGGGAAAGGAAATGTGTTATTGCATACGTATTATACACACATGGCTAATAAAGTTGTGTTGCTATTTTTCCTTTTCCTGGCTTAGTGCCCTGCTTTAAAGCATGTCAGCTCTGTTTGGACAAAGGCAGTTGGTCTGTGGCTTACAGATGTGATGCTGATTTTTGAGTTATTGCTTACCAACCAAGTGGCTTCTGTCCATTGCACGTAATGGCATTTTTTAGCACGTACCTGGGAGCTTTGGGTAAAGAATCTTTTTCAAGCAAGCCTGTGGCCGTGAAAGGGTGGCAAGAGAAGTAATTTGCCTTGCTGGTGTTTCACAAATGTGTGGTGAAAAATAACATCTGTAGTTGTCCCAGAAATGAGGTGCTCTGTTGGTAAACTGGTACATTCATATTGTTCAGTGTTCTCGTTCCAAAGCCCGTGTTATCTGATCCAAGTTTGTAAAATCCTTTCTCTTGTAAACAAAGTTCTCGTTTTGCTCTTTAAGCTAATGAATAACTCAATTAAGAAAATATGTATATATATCTGCAAGCCAAATCATCCCACAAAATCGTAGGGCATGATTGTCTTGGTTTTCCTAGAGATGGAAGTTTGAACAAAGGCTGCTAGCAAATGTTTTGATTAAATCTTTATCCAAAACTTAAGTTTGTTTTTCTCATGACAAAATCCAAGTCAACTAAATATCCTGAAGCTGTACGTGTTGGTTTTTGTCTTTTTTTTTTCCCCTTAAGGGAACAAGACCATGCAGACCTTAAGAGAACAAGACCTAAGTGGAACTTGAAGTACGTACGTCCTGGCAAAGCAGGAGCACAGAGGAGTGAGTGCTGCTTCTACAAAAAGCAGTGCTAACAAACCCAAAATACAGTTCCTCCGTGAGCTTGCACTGAACATTCCTGTTGTCCTGTAGAAAGAATGAGCAGATGATCTTGCATGTATGCTTACCCCCTGTGAGAAGTGATGAGGAGTCTTTTAAAGAAGCAAAAACATGAAGCAATCACACCTGTTGTGTAAGAAGTAGTGCTTATAGGCTGGGGATTTTGCTTGCAGTGTGTAAGAGTGTGGCAACAAACTCAGTGGGGTTGTTACATTAGAAGCTGAGAATGGAGATCTCGTTTTGCAGAAGAGGTTTTTGTTTTATTTACAATGATTTTTGTCAGTGCTGGTAGAAGGTTGTATTTTGCAGGTTTTCCTGATCTGTTAATTAGTGGCAATCTGAAACAGGTGTTGAAAATGACTGGGAAATTAGGTTGGAGAGGACCTCTGGAAGGTGGCAACTTTGAATCTGTGCTCTCCCTTAAAGCTGCCTAAGGCGGCTGATGGGCCTCTCCAGCCCTGCTCTGGATAGTGGCAGCCTTCCTCATCAGTGTCTGCTCCCTCCCATTTCATGTAGTCTCAAAACCTGCTTCAGGTGAGCTCTATCTTCAGCCTGGTTGGTGAGGAAGGCGCTGGTGTTGCCCAAGTACAACCTGAATTATATGTGGGTATGCAACTGAAAACAGCCCCATGCTTCCCAATTTAGAGCTCTGCTTTTGTCCTCATGTATCTTGCTTCAGTGCCACTTCAGTTGTCCTCCACTGCCTGAAATCTCGGGCTATATGCTTTTAGCTGTTTGAGAAAGTTGTTTGAATTTAGCAGCACCGTTCTTTCCAGACTTTAATTAAGCTCTTTTCTGACTAATGAGGTTCTCTACCACTTCCCTGCCACCCCCGCAGTGTTCTTTGTTCTTTATTGGTATCTTTTTGTTCATCGTTTCAGTACTTCACCTTTTTAATCTTTCAGTTTTTGTCTTCCAGCATAGAAAAACCTGAAAGTCTATAGTAGTAAAGGTTGCCTCAAAGGTGTGAGCTGTTATGTGCTGAAAGTAACTTGAAAAGCTACGCCATGTATTTGGAGGTCCAGAAGATTTTTGACATGGGGACGTCCTGCTGTTTGTTAGCAAGGTTACAGTGTAATCTGGGAGGCTCTAGCCTAGGTCTGTTTGAAAAGTGCTGTTACTCTGGTTTTATTTAAGGCTAGCAGTTATTGACAAGTTGCTTCACTGGTAGCATAGAATACAATGTGGATTGTTAAGGTAAGTCAGTGAAAGGTATGGAATGGGGTTCTCTGTTCAGTGTCATGCAGTGTTCCAAGACCCATTGAAAACAACAGCCAGATGATTAATACAGGTACTAATTCAACACTCTTATTCATTCACTAGCTGCAGTTTTTAATCCTGTGAATCCCTATGAATGTAGCAGTGTGTAGAATTTCCTGGCTGCTAAAAGATGAAGACAGGATGGTGGATGCTTGTGATCTGGGAGCCGGTGAGTGCAGCGGTCAGAGCAGTGCTGGCTAGTGGTCACTGCAGCTTACTGTCATGGCAGAAACCAGCCTGCAGCTGAGTGATGGCCTCCATGTAGAAATGACTTGTGTATCTTGAGTGCATGCCTTCCTGTGTGAGGAACCAGCTGGGTATTTTGGTAGGCCCAGTGCAAGCTTTTATTTAAGTTTATCTCCTTAGTGGTTGTCTTATTTTTGCAGGTATTTAGATGGACTTTGGGGAATTTATAGTATTGTTTCTCTAGGCTGTAATACTGCCTTAGATAGCTGTCAGCATGCAGAAGCTCTTGAGGACTATAGAAACCAACATTTTTTCCAGTATAAGCAACCAAATGGAGGGAAATTACCAGAGTTCTTGATGAACTCGGAGTGCCTGGGCTGACCAATGTCTCACGGTGCAGCATGGCACGTCTTGGTAATCACACTGTTGAAATTTCTAATATTTGACCCGATAGATGATTTAAAGCAAATCGACTGTTAGCATTCTCAATGAAAAATAATGGCGTGGCAGATGAAACTGGCTTTCCTGGTTTGTGTAACTGCACTTGACTCTTACTTTCCTTCGTGTTGGTTAGCTACATGCTATGGGATAAGGCTGTTCTGATAAAATAATGGCATGCTTGTCAGTTTGTGTCTTCTTGTTGTTTCCTTCCTTT